TAACTATTGATGTTGAACAGCCTCGGGGCCACGGGGGAAGGGGGGGAAGGGGGGGGAGTGGAGGGGAGGGGAGGAGAAGGAAGGGGGAGAGGGGGAGGGGTGGTGGTAAAGAGGGAGGGGACAGGTTTGATCAGGGTTTTTGTATTTTTCTAATCTTTCTCTTCTTCGCTCTTTCTTCTTCTTGTTCTTCCTCTCCTCCCTTCTCTTCGCTCTCGCTCTCTTCTCTCTTTTCTTCTTTCTCTCTTCCTCTTCTCTCTCTTCTCTCTCTCTCTCTCTCTCTCTCTCTCTCTCTCTCTCTCTCTCTCTCTCCTCTCTCTCTCTCTCTCTCTCTCTCTCTCTCTCTCTCTCTCTCTCTCTCTCTCTTCTCTCTCTCTCTCTCTCTCTCTCTCTCTCTCTCTCCTCACTCACTCACTCACTCACTCACTCACTCACTCACTCACTCACTCACTCACTCACTCACTCACTCACTCACTCATTTTGTGTGTGTGTGTGTGTGGTGTGTGTGTGTGTGTGTGTGTGTGTGTGTGTGTGTGTGTGTGTGTGTGTGTGTGTGTGTGTGTGTGTGTGCGCGCGCGCGCGTATGCGTGTGCATGTTTGTACCTGTGTGTGAATGTGTGTAACCAATATGAAAAAAACTACACGCACACAAAAGCAAAACCCAAACTCAAACGCAAAACCACACAAAGGCCAAAAAAAAAAATATTAATAAAAAAAATAAAAAAATAAAACAAGAGAGAGAGAGAGAGAGAGAGAGAGAGAGAGAGAGAGAGAGAGAGAGAGAGAGAGAGAGAGAGAGAGAGAGAGAGAGAGAGAGAGAGAGCGAGAGCGAGAGCGAGAGCGAGAGCGAGAGCGAGAGCGAGAGCGAGAGGAGAGAGAGGCGAGAGACAGAGACAGAAGAGACAGAGAGAGAGAGAGCGAGAGCGAGAGCGAGAGCGAGAGAGAGACAGAGACAGAGACAGAGACAGAGACAGAGACAGAGAGAGCGGAGCGAGAGCGAGAGCGAGAGAGAAAAAAGAAAAATATATAGGCCCTATGCACACGCAGGACAAATTCCACAACTGCACAGAACAGCTGCAGGGTAAAGAATGCGCTTGCAAATCAGGCATGCACGCGCGCACGAAGGGCCTGCTGCATGATATAATGGCGCATAAAATCTTTCTTACGTAATGAGGGAAGGAGGAGGTGAAACGGAGGAGGAGGAGGTGGAGAAAAGAAGGAGGAGGCAGGAGGAAGAGGAGGAGGAGGAGGAGGAGGAAGAGGAGGAAGGAGAGGAGAGGAGGAGGAGGAGGAGGAGAGGAGGAGGAGGAGGAGGAGGAGGAGGAGGAGGAGGAGGAGGAGAGGAGGAGGAGAGAGGAGGAGGAGGGAGGAGGAAGAGAGGAGAGGAAGAAGTGGCGGGAGAGGAAAAAGTGAAGAGAAGAGGAGAAGAAAAAAGAAAAAGTGGAGAGGAAGAACGGGAAGAAAAAGTGAAGGAAGAGGAGAGGAAAAAGAAAAAGTGGAGAGGAAAAAGGAGAGAAAAAGTGAAGGAAGAGGAGAGGAAAAAGAAAAAGTGGAGAGGAAAAAGGGGAAAAAGTGGAGAGGAGAAGGGAGACAAGGAGTCGAAAATGAGAGGAAGAGGAGTGGAAAGGAAGAGGAGAAGAGGAAGTGGAAAATAGGAGGAGGAATAGGGGAGGAGGGGGAAGGAATGGAGTGGTAGTGTGTGGGAGATGATAAGGAAGAGAAGAGGAAATGAGAAGGAAGAAGAAGTGAAGAGGACAAAGAGTAGAAGGAATATGGAAAGAAGGGGGGGGAAGGGGGAAGAAATAGAGAGATAAGAAATGGGAGGCAGATAAGGAGGAGAAGAGGAAGTGAAAAGGAAGAAGAGGAGAAGGAGAAGAACTGAAGAACAAGAAGAGGCGGAGGAATGTGGAAGGAAATGGGGGGGGAGGAGGAGGAAAGCGAGGAAGGGAGATTCTGATGAGAAGAGAAAGCGAAAAGAAGAAAAAGAGGAGGAGATGGAAGAGGGAAGCAAGGGGAACGAATGGAGAGGCAAGAAGAGGAAAGATGATGATAAGAGGAAGCGAAAAGAAAAAGAGGAGAAGGGAAAGGAAGAGGGAAGCAGGGAAGGAATGGAGAGGCAAGAAGAGAAAGCGAAAAGAAGAAGAAGAAGAGAAATAGAAGTAAGGCAAAGAAGGGGAACGAATGGAGGAGCAAGAAGAGGAAGCGAAAAGAAGAAGAGAAAGAGGAGAAGAAGAGCCAAATAGGGGGAACGAATGGAGAGGCAAGAAGAGGAAGCGAAAGAAGAAGAAGAGGAGGAGGAAGGAAGAGCAAAGAAGGGAACGAATACAGAGGCAAGAAGAGGAAGCGAAAGAAGAAGAAGAAGAGGAGGAGAAGGAAGAAGGAAGCAAGGGGAACGAATAAAGAGGCAAGAAGAGAAAGCGAAAAGAAGAAGAAGAAGAGAAAGAGAAGGAAGAGGGAAGCAACTGAAAGGAATGGAGAGGCAAGAAGAGAAAGCGAAAAGAAGAAGAAAAGGAGGAGGAGAAGGAAGAGGCAAAGAAGGGGAACGAATGGAGAGGCAAGAAGAGAAAGCGAAAAGAAGAAGAAGAGGAGGAGAAGGAAGAGGCAAAGAAGGGGAACGAATAAAGAGGCAAGAAGAGAAAGCGAAAAGAAGAAGAAGAAGAGGAGAAAGGAAGAAGGAAGCAAGGGGAACGAATAAAGAGGCAAGAAGAGGAAGCGAAAAGAAGAAGAAGAGAAAGAGGAGGAGAAGGAAGAGCCAAAGAAGGGGAACGAATGGAGAGGCAAGAAGAGAAAGCGAAAAGAAGAGAAGAAGAGAAAGAGAAGGAAGAGGCAAAGAAGGGGAACGAATGGAGAGGCAAGAAGAGGAAGCAAAAAGAAGAAGAAGAAGAGAAAGAGGAGGAGAAGGAAGAGCCAAAGAAGAGGAACGAATAAAGAGGCAAGAAGAGGAAGCGAAAAGAAGAAGAAGAGAAAGAGAAGGAAGAGGGAAGCAAGGGGAACGAATAAGAGGCAAGAAGAGGAAGCGAAAGAAGAAGAGAAAGAGGAGGAGAAGTAAGAGGCAAGAAGGGGAACGAATGGAGAGGCAAGAAGAGAAAGCTGAAAAGAAGAAAGAGAGAGAAAAGAGAGGGAGAAGGGAACGAGGGAAGTAAGGGGAAAGAATAAAGGAGGAAAGAAGAGGAAAGAAGCTGAGGAAAAGCGAAAAGCGGAAAGAAGAGAAGGAAGAAAAGAAAGGAAGCGAAAAGAAGAAGAAGGAAAAGGAAAGGAAGAGGTAATGAGGGGAACGAAGAGAGGCAGAGGAGGGGGAGCGTGGCGTGAGAGACCCGACACCGATGGCGTGCGGAGACACACGGACGCGAGAAACAGCAGAGGTTGTAAAACGCAGCGCTGCAGTAAGTATACCCAGGAAGAGGAGAAGGAATAAGAAAAGGAGGAAGAGGAGGAGAAGAAGGGAGAAAGGAGAGGGGTAGAGAAGAATAAGGGAGCAAGAGAGAGGAAGAGGAAAAGAAGGGAAGGGAGGAGAAGAAAGGAAGAGGAGGAAGAGAAAAGAGGGGGGAGAAAAGGAAGAAAAGAAGAAAAGGAGGAAGAGGAGAGGGAGAAGAAGAAGAGAAGGAAGGGGTGGGGAGGAAGAGGAGTGGGGAAGAGGAAGAAGGGGTGGGGGAGGAAGATGAGGAAGAGAAAGAAGAAGAGGGAGAATAGGAGGAGGTGGAGAAGAAAGGAAGGAGGAGGTAAAAGAGGATGAGGATAAGGAAATAGGAGGCAGAGAAAGAAGAGGAGAGGGAAAAGAAGAGAAGAGGAGGAGAAAGAATAGTAGTAGTAGTGTTAGGAGGAGGCGGCAGAGGAGGAAAAAAAAAAAAAAAAAAAAAAAAAAAAAACGACCGAAGTAAGTGGATAGAGAAAAACAGAAGGGAGGGAAGCGACGGCCCCGAAAGGAGAGCCGTGTGTCACAATCCCTGACCCGGGTCACGTGAGGTCAGGGCGGCCGGTTGTGGAAATCAATATGGCGTCCAGGTGAGAGCGAGTGATGAGCGCTTAATAGGTGTCACGCGGGACGAGGTCAGGCACGGCTAGGCCACTTAAGCGATACCGTAGACAGGAGTCCATTTGTCTGTCTGTCTATGTCTGTCAGTGTTTGTGTCTTGTCTGTCTGTCTGTTAATGTTTGTGTCTTGTCTGTCTGTATATGTCTGTTAATGTTGTGTCTGTCTGTCTGTCTGTGTGTCTCTCTATGTCTGTGCGTATCTCGCTCTCTCTCTGACTTTATATGTACATATAGTCAGTTAATAGATAAAGACAGGTATGTAGGTAGATAGACTGGGAGTCAGATAGATAGACTGAGAGACAGACAGATAGATAAATAGATAAGATAGAGAGACGTGTGTCATCTTGTGAAATATACATTTACATAACGTTTTAATATTTAAATAAACTCACCCCACGTGTCACCTACTCTACACTGCACATGAATGAAACTATGATGAAAAAATGAGAATAATCATAATGACGATAATGATAATAGCAGAACAATACTGATAAAAACGAAGACAAGACAAGAAAAAGAAAAAAAAAAGAGGATGTCGAGAAAGAACTAAAAAATTAAGAAAACAACGACGAGAAATAACCAAAGAACCAATTCAAGAAAATAGACGAGAGAGAACCAAAGAAAAGAAAAGAAAACACGAGAGAAATAAAACAAAGAACCAATCAACAAAATAGACGAGAGAGAACCAAAGAAAAGAAAAGAAAACAGACGAAAGAGAACTAAAGAAAAGACAAAGAAAAAACAGACGAAAGAAAACCACAGAATAGACAAGAAAATAGACGAGAGAGAACCAAAGAAAAGACAAGAAAAAACAGACGAAAAAAACACAGAAAAGACAAGAAAATAGACGAAAGAAAACCAAAGAAAAGACAAGAAAACAGACAACGAGAAAGAACCCAAAGAACCAAAGAGAGAGAGAGAGAAAAAAAAACAAGGACAGCTCGACCGGCGGCTTCACGTGGCGGTATCACCTTGCAAATCCTGGCGGCCGGGCAGAGAAACCCAGCAGATGCCTCCGCCTTCCGCACCTGCACGCGGCCCAGGCTACACGAGGCGCTGCAACGGCCGTGGCAACGACCAAAGCGACGGTCTGCAGGACAGTCATGCAACTTTAGCAAAAGCAGCAGCGGGGAGCTATGCCTGACGCCGGGTAATGAAAGCAGCAATGACAACAGCAAAGACGAGGGTTCTAGCCGTCGGTCATGCAATCATGACAACGGAAAGAGAGTTCTGTCGGATGCAATATGTCATTGGCAGGAGCAACGGAAAATCCGAGTCTACCGAGAGAGAGAGACAACACCTCGGCGAAATCGCCATCAACACCGCGTCTCCCTCACGAAAACATCATGCAACAACACAATCATCATGCAGCAACAGTAACAAACAACGCCAGCCGCAAGCCCTGCATGAGGAACGGAGAGGAGCGGAAAGGAGCAGAAGTCATGCACGGCGCCGAGTCACGCACTGGATCCACACCGAATCACAGAAGATCCGAAACACCGATACAACCCATGATTCGAAAAGAAACGAATCCCTAGCCCGCCGGTTGTCCGAATTACCAAAACCTCGGAAGCTGAATCACAGAAAAAGGTTCGAACCAACGAATTACCGAAGCTTCGAACCTCTCCAAAAGGGTCCGAACGACCAACCAGCGCTCTCAAACGACTCTATTAAGACAGTTCGAGAGTATTTCTGCAGATACACTTTAATATTTCAAATACAATATTTCATCAGGAAGGAATAGCCGTGCGTGTGTGTGTTCGTGTGTGTGCGCGTATGCATGAGCATGTAGGCCTATGCGAAGCGTGTGCTTGCCCCCTTCCGCCCAACCCCCGCCCCCAACCCATCGCCACCCCCTCCTCCTCACAGTGACCTGCCAACTAATTCCCTTTCCCTCGCCATCCGCATTCCGTGGAACCGCCCCTTCGTGAGAGAGAAACGCGAGACCCCGCCCCCTGCTCCGCTTGCGCCATCTCGCCTGCAGTCATGTCGCTTCGTTTTGTCTAGACTGAAGCTTGGCTAATCGGCTATTATTTCTTCTTAATGATGACAATATTACTTCTAATCCTCAGAAGAGTAAAAACAACTACCATAAAAACATCTGTCGTAACAAGAAATAAACCAAAATTCTTTTTTTAAATAACGGTGATAATAATAATAATAATAATAAAACATCAATGATAATACGGGTAAAGAATAATCCTCATAAAATACAACACTATAAATACAACAATAATACTATCATTTTGGGAAAAATAAAGATAAAAAACAAAAAACGCAACCCAAAAATGACATGAAGTTCACCAGATCTCGGGTCAAAATGCGTGACCTCAGCTGTTACTTGTACAACTCGGTGTTTCTTGAGGACTCTTTCGTGAAGAAGTTATTACTTGATAATCACTGCTGTTACTTTCATTTTACTTGTTTATTACCACTTGCGTTACTTTATTTTTTCCTTGTATTAGCTTATTGTTATTTGCTACTAGCTTACTATTACTAGTAGTTATTTGTGATACTTTATTTGCTACCTGTTAGTTACTTTACTGTTAACTATGTTGTTACTGAAGTTTTTTAAATGTCTTATTCATAATTAGTGTACTTTTCTTAGAAGTCTTAATCATCTGTTCAAATCCGATCAAGTTTATAGGCCTTTTTTTGTTGGCCTTCCTTGTAGCATGGCCGACCCCCCCCCCCACACACACACACAGTTTCATACACTTTGAAACGAGTTTGCCCTTTCCACGCACATTATTGGAACCTGCTGAAACATCTCATTTTGTACCAAAGCGTCTGCCTCTACATTAATACCGTTTCATAGACTCGACACACGCCTGGCCTTTACACCTGAAGAAACGTCTTTTCAGGTTGTGTCAAAGTGTTTGCCTGTACTTCGATATAAGTTGACACACTTCGATACATGTCTTTGGAAATATCTTTTCAATTTGTTATCGAGTTTTTTCGGCCGGTTTGTTAGACCCAAATATTCATATACTTGACATGCATGAATAAAGAAATAAATGCATATTTATCAGTCTAGACATGCATATCAACCCGGCAAAATGATAGTTAAAGGTATATCTATCAGATCTATAGACAGATATTAATTAATTTCTGCGTATACGTGTCTGAATTTATGAAAATTCATTGAGTCAGGCCTCGCACAATTTTAATAAACCGGCCGTTTGCCTCTACTTTGATACAGTTTGATACAGTTTGATACACGTCGATGCACGCTTGCCCGTTACTGAAACCTGCTGAAACACCTTTTCAATTTTGTATCAAAAGTTTCTGCCTCTCCTTTTGATACAGTTTGACACACTATGATATATGATTGCTCTTTACGCCTATTGAAACACCCTTTCGATTTGTATCAAAATGTCTGCCTCTACCTTCATAGGCCTATAATTTGATACACTTTGATACATGCTTGCCCTTTACCCGCACGTTATTGAAACCTGCTGAAACATCTTTTCGATATTGTATCAAAGTGTCTGCCTCTCCTTTTGATGCAGTTTGACACACTACGAAATGTCTGCCTCTTCCTTCATAGGCCTATAATTTATTACACTTTGATACATGTTTGCCCTTTACCCGCACATTACTGAAACCTGTTCAAACACATTTCAAATTTGTATCAAATGGTTTGCCTATTCCTTAAAACAGCTGTCCTTTACGACTGTTGAATTACCCTTAAAAATTTGTATCGAAATATCTGCCTCTCCCTTCATAGGCCTACAACTTGACACAAACCGGCCAGCCAAAGACCCTCCCAACTTGTATCAAAGACCTACAATTTCATACAAGCCGGCCAGCCAAAGACCCTTCCAACTTGTCTCGAAACATCTGCCTCTCCCTTCATAGGCCTATAATTTGATACATGCCTCTCCCTTCATAGACCTACAATTTCATACAAGCTTATTGACACAACCCCAGCCAAAGACCCTTCCAACTTGTACCGAAACATCTGCCTCTCCCTTCATAGGCCTACAACTTCATACAAGCCGGCCAGCCAAAGACCCTTCCAACTTTACTAAAAACATCTGCCTCCCTTCATAGGCCTACAACCCGACACAAGCCAGTCAGCCAATCAAAACGCAATATTCTTTCCTACTTACTCTCCGTGATCTTGTTGAGCCGAAGGACGTCCTCCGGGCTGATAATGGGCAGCGTCAGCGCCTCCTCCTCCGTCAAGACTGCGGAGACCAAGAGAAAAAAAGGAAATGAGAAAATGGGTAATCAAAAGGGAATTGAGAAAAATGGGCAGTAAAAAGGGAATGAGAAGTCGACAATAAAATGGACAATAAAAGGAATGAGAAAAAATGGACAATAAAAGGGAATAAGAGAAAATGGACAATAAAAAAGGGAATGAGAAAAATGGCAATAAAAAGGGAATAAGAAAATGGACAATAAAAAGGGAATGAAGAAAAATGGACAACAAAAGGGAATGAGAAAAATGGACAATAAAAAAGGAATGTGAAAAATTGGCTAAAAATAATAACAACAACAACAATAATAATAACAATAAACACTAACAACAAACAAACAACAAAATAATAATTATGATAATAGTGAAATAAATCAGCATTGTAAATCACTGTACATTTTGTAACAAAACTTTATCCTTTAATCGCCACCTGCAAATGAGTCAGCGTTTTCTTAAAGACAATTTAAATTTCTCTTTTGTTTTTCTTGTTTGAAAGTTACGATATTTTCCTTTGTTCTTGTTTCGCTAACCCTTTAAAGCGATTTATCATTTCGGTGCACAATGAAAACAATATAAGCGATAAATAATAAGAAAACTCTGATCTATTTAGTTATCGATATCTGTGTCTGTTTACTGGTCTTTCTGTCTCTTTTCTTTCTCGTAGTATTTTTTCCTTTTCTCCTTCCTTCCTTCCGTATTTCTCGTTTCATTTTTCCCTCCTCCTCTCTTTCTCTTCTCTCTCCCACCTTTCACCCTGTCACTCTTCTCCCCCTTTTCTTCCTCCCCTCCCCCTCTCGTCTCTCTCCTCTCTCTCTCTCTCTCTCTCTCTCTCTCTCTCTCTCTCTCTCTCTCTCTCTCTCTCTCTCTCTCTCTCTCTCTCTCTCTTCTCCCTCTCTCTCTCTCTCTCTCTCTCATTGCATTATCGACTTCTTCGCGCGTCGCTTTCAGATTTCAATATCCCTAAAAAGGTGTGGAGAAGGAGAGAGGAGGGAGGAGGGAGGGAGGGAGGGGGAGGGGGGAGGGGGGAAGGAGGGAAGAGGGAGGGAGGGGGAAGGAGAGGAAGATGGAGGGGGAGGGGGGAGGAGAGAGGAAGGAGGGGAGGGGAAAGAGTAAGTCTGCGAGAAGAACGACCTTCTAACCCCTTCCCCTCCCTCTCAGAAAAGAAAGACCAAGAAAGAAAATTAAGACGATAGAGAGAGAGAGAAAGAGAAAGAGAGATAGATAGATAGATAGATAGAGAGAGAGAGAGAGAGAGAGAGAGAGAGAGAGAGAGATAGCCAAAGATATATCCCTTCCACGAAGTGTGACCTGAATCCATTCGCAAACCCTCGTGCTGTCGACGCCAACCTCCTTAAAAGGCAGCCCATGTATCACGTGACAAAAGTAGGGAGGGGGGGGGGAGGGGCATATGCACCCGCCTCTGAACATTGTTTGTTTACATCCGCCCTTATCTCCACCAGCTTCCATATGATAATTCCAAGAAAAAAACAAACAAACAAACAAAAAAAACATTATCAAGATCTTAATACTAAAATGATATCAATACTTAATACTAAAAAGTATTTATAATAAATATCCAAGTTTATTAGGTTAATTACTAAGAGATTAAATGCTGAAATGAAAAGCGTTTATAATAACTAAATGAGTTTTATTAGCTTGATAAACGTCTAAAATACATCTACAAAACGACAGAAAAAACGATTTATCCAATAATAATCAGAACAGTTCAGTGCATTTCACAAAGCGTTATGCAGATCAAAAATAAACAAGATACGAACAAATCATTTCAAAAACAAACAATAAGAACAAATACAACAAATTCATTTTCAAAAACAAACAATAATACGAACAAATCATTTCAAAAATAAACAAAGATACGAACAAATCATTTCAAAACAAACAATAATACGAACAAATCATTTCAAAAATAAACAAAAATACGAACAAATCATTTCAAAAACAAACAATAAAACGAAACAAATTTAAAAAACAAACAATAATACGAACAAATCATTTCAAAAATAAACAAAAATACGAACAAATCATTTCAAAAACAAACAAAGAAGGAACAAAATCATTTCAAAAACAAACAATAAAACGAACAAATCATTTCAAAAATAAACAAAGATACGAACAAATCATTTCAAAAACAAACAATAATACGAACAAATCATTTCAAAATAACAAAAATACGAAACAAATCATTTCAAAAAACAAACAATAAAACGAACAAATTTAAAAACAACAAACAATAATACGAACAAATCATTTCAAATAAAAAAAAATACGAACAAATCATTTCAAAAACAAACAAAGATACGAACAATCATTTCAAAAACAAACAATAATACGAACAAATCATTTAAAAAACAAACAATAATACGAACAAATCATTTCAAAAACAAACAAACAATACGAACAAATCATTTCAAAAACAAACAAAGATACGAACAAATCATTTCAAAAACAAACAATAAAACGAACAAATCATTTCAAAAAACAAACAATAATACGAACAAAATATTTCAAAAATAAACAAAAATACGAACAAATCATTTCAAAAACAAACAATAAAACGAACAAATCATTTCAAAAAACAAACAATAAAACGAACAAATCATTTCAAAAACAAACAATAATACGAACAAATCATTTCAAAAATAAACAAAAATACGAACAATAAAACAAAACAAACAATAAAACGAACAAATTTAAAAAAACAAACAATAACGAACAAATCATTTTCAAAAACAACAATAAACGAACAAATCGTTTCAAAAACAAACAACAGACGAACAAATCATTTCAAAAATAACATAATAATACGAACAAATCATTTTTCAAAAACAAACAAAGATACGAACAAATCATTTCCAAAACAAACAACAAGACGACAAATCATTTCAAAAACAAAAGATACGAACAAATCATTTCAAATACAAACAATAAAACGAACAAATCATTTCAAAAACAAACAATAAAACGAACAAATCATTTCAAAAACAACAAAGATACGAACAAATCATTTCAAAAACAAACAATAAAACGAACAAATCATTTCAAAAACAAACAATAAAACGAACAAATCATTTCAAAAACAAACAAAGATACGAACAAATCATTTCAAAAACAACAATAAAACGAACAAATCATTTCAAAAAACAAACAATAAAACGAACAAATCATTTCAAAAACAAACAATAAAACGAACAAATCATTTTAAACAAAATAAACAAAGATACGAACAAATCATTTCAAAAACAAACAATAAAACGAACAAATCATTTCAAAAACAAACAATAAAACGAACAAATCATTTTCAAAAACAAACAATAAAACGAACAAACAAAACAACAAAGCGAAACAAATCATTTCAAAAAAAACAAGATACGAACAAATCATTTCAAAAACAAACAAAGATACGAACAAATCATTTCAAAAACAAACAAAGATACGAACAAATCATTTCAAAAACAAACAATAAAACGAACAAATCATTTCAAAAACAAAACAACAAGACGAACAATCATTTCAAAAATAAATAATAATACGAACAAATCATTTAAAACAACAAATACGAAAATAATTTCAAAAACAACAAACGACAAATCAATTCAAAAACAAACAAAGATACGAACAAATCATTTCAATAACAAACATAAAACGAAACAAAATCATTTCAAAAACAAACATAAAACGAACAAATCATTTCAAA